GTGACACAGACACCCTTCTAAAAGTGTAGTTCGCTGCTCAGGTGGGATTAGGAGTCAGGTTCTGAGATGTAAGTCATCATTTAAACTATTAATATATACATCATGTACATGGAATTCTTCTTCTTCTTTTTTTACCTTGATGAAATTCTTAAAATACATTTTTGGGGTGAAATTTGAACAAGTTTTTTTAATTTATTTTTTCATCCACATTGAAGTGTACCATTCCTCCTAACGTTGATGCATCTACACGATAGTTTTCCTAATTATTCAATAAGCAGCTGCAAATGTACATTTCAAAACATACATGGATATGAGTATATTCATTTAAGTTAGATATACATATTTCATGACCAGCTATTGAATATACATGTAAATTAAAAGTGTTTGTAGAATGGGGTCTTACGTTATTACCTTTTACAAGTATATGAAGATTATGAAAAGTAAATGAATAAGAGATTAAAAACCTATTTAAGTCAATTTTAAAACTGTAGATAGTAGGATTTTCTGCAGTGCAGTGTTATACATTTCAGCACTTCGAGCTTTTTAAGTCCTCAGCAATTTTGGCCAATAAAGGTAAAATGAGGACTGCGGCAACTGCAGCAAGTCCGAATGAAGGCCAGAAGTCACTGTCCATCCACCCTTAGCAGTAAACTGGCAATGCTGCTGAGACTTCTCATTTGAGAGGAATGCAATCTAACACCTGTGCTTCAATCAACTGTATTGGAGGTTATGAGAGGTAAGAATACATGAAAACATCAGACGTCTGATAAATATATGAAAAATTATTCGTATATTTTGTAAGTTTTAGTGTTGAGAGAAATTAGACAAGACTGTTTGCATCCTGATCTGTAATACAGAATAGAATGCCATAAAAGAGTCATTTTATTGAAAAATGTTGAAGAGTTCTTTTAAAACGAGAAATTCATTTCAGTTTGTATTTTCTTTATAGACTTCAGCATGTGGTGACCGTGTGTGAAGAATGGCAAAGGAAAGCTTGAATCATGGAAAAGATAATTAAGTTATTCCAGATAACTTAGGAAGAAGAACAATAAAAATGACACACTCTTTCCTTCAGCAGACAGAAAGAATTTTGTGAAAATAATCAACCAGTGGTAAATTAACAGCTAATTGTTTTGTTGAATTGACTTTTAAACAATGGTTTTGTCTTTCTTTTTTTATTTGTTAATTCAACTGTGACAGTCACATTATTATGTAGATGTATGAAGAAAAATCAAGTTTTGGTAGAATATTTTTTATATTTTTATTTCATGTGAATTTAAGGCAAGGCATAACATTTTCAAATGTAAAATTTTTTTAGTCGTTGAATTTTAAAGAACTTGTAAATAAATGATTTATAATTTGTATAATTTCATTTTTTTAATTGTTAAGTTTGTAAAAGTCTGAAACAACAATAGCTGATACACTGTGATTGGCAGATTATGTAACCATTAATGCAAAAATCCCTCTAACCATTAAGGCGGAATACGCCTTGCTAGTAAGACGGAATACGCCTATCTTAAGTAAGGCGGAATACGCCTTGCTAGTAAGGCGGAATACGCCTATCCTAAGTAAGGCGGAATACGCCTTGCCATTAATGCGGAATACGCCTTGCAGGTAAGGCGGAATATGCCTTGAAAGTAATCCATATTAGGAAAGGCGGAATACGCCTTAACTCATTTAAATATTTCGAGCCCTATTCCGCCCTGATTCCACCCGGACTCCGTCTAATAGTCTTATTAAGTTCTTTATAGATAAAGGCGGATTCCGTCTTTTGATTTCCGCCTAAGGTCAGGGCGTAAATTTTCGTACAGGCAATGACCCTGAGTGCCGAGTGTAGGTCTAAATTTGAAGCTCTTCACCGGTATATGATGACGTCTCTATATGAGTGAAGAATTCTCGAATGGGACGTAAAACAACATATCAATCCATCCAGAATAAAATTCTTGAAGATATCCCAATCATGTCAAATTCTAAAATCATATTCATCCATTTGATAATTTAATCGCAAGTACAACCTAAGATTTACCGAGTATAATAGGCTAATACTTTCACGTATTTATGCATAATATATTAACATCCACTGAATGTTATCTTCTTTATTTCTTATGAAACCCATTACCGTTTATCAGTCTGTAAACGCCGTTAAGCTAGCCACCTGTTTAGATTTCTTGAGCAGCGACTGTTCCATCAATGAAATTTACAATGACATACAAATCAATTATACAATATTTAACATAACTTATTTTACTTTCTATGTCTTTTTTTTTATTAAGACAGAAATATTACCAATAAAAAAAGTCTTTCTTTGATTAGTAGTACGTGAAATAACATTGGACCTATTGTAGAATTTTTTTTTTTTTTTTTTTTTTTTTTTTTTACAAAACCCGCTTTTTCTGCAACAGCTGCAACATCAGTTCCCATACTAACAACCAAAGAAAGCATTTTATTGTTCAAATTAAAGAAACCTGTATTAAAAAGAATTATGAGGTATTTTATCAATTCAGATACTCAACAATTTAGTGAATACCATAAGTACATTTCAATCCATTCCGTATATTTAGGAAACTGAAAACCATTAGACATTTTAATATAAAGAAAACAGACTGATACTGCGGAAAGGGTATAAGCCTATATTTTAACATGCACCATTTTTTAACTGTAATTTATTGACAAGGCTTCCTCCAAAGGAAAGCACTGCAAGACATTAGGTTTTCTTTAATATCAGGTTTTCCATGGTTTTCTTGTAATTTTTTTGATTTCCATACCCCCAAATAAACATCTGAATTCTTGTCGTTCTTAGAACAGATCGGACTTTGCGTAAACGTTCAGTAACGTTTGTTTTTGACCCTTTTCTCATATTATGAATTGTATAAGTAAGTAGACCCAAATCAAGTAAAACGGACAATGGAGGTAGAAGTGCATCTGCAATGGTGACTGCGCGTACAATCACGCGCCCTATGACAATTGGCAATCCACGAAGAATAAGAAATGCCCCAGTTGTTGTATGAATTGCTGTTGCACCGACGCTGTCGGTGTCTTTCGTAATGAAGCTTGTCAACTCTTGTTGGAGATCTGAAAAAGACTTCTCCATGCATCGAGACCTCTCTCGCAAATTCATCTGATATCTCTCCAACATTGATATTGCATCCCTACTTAAAACGAACTCGGTGATTTTTGTTCCTATGACACCAAACACTACCAAGCGTTCCAATAACGCCTCCTGCAATTGCTAAACCAAGGGAAACTCCTGCAGTGAATGGTGCTGCTATTAATCCACCAATTGCCAAAGCTGATCCCCAAAGTCCTACAGAAGACCCCACAATATTGGAAATGTTAGCCGAAGGGGTTCATGATTTGTACAAACTTGAACCTACACTACCTGATGATACTTCCATAGTGTACATATAGAATGATAGTTACTTATCTTTGATAAGTAAAGCTTTACGGGAAAGATACATATATTGAATTTGATAAATAGAAGCAGAATACCAATTTATTATGTATTTCAATTCATAAAAAATGTCCACTTGGTAGAATCTTTATTCCCAAAACATTTCATAGAAAAATATATATATACAGTGAAATCACTCTTTCGTTCCCTCTTTCGCTTGCTTTTTCTCTTTCTATCGATCGATAGATCGGTCACATAGGCGTCGGAACGGGGGGGGGAGGCTAGCCCCCCCGCCCCCCCCCCCCGCCTTTTTTGCAAAGATAGACATAATGTAGGCAATAAAAATTGAGGTTTAGCCCCCATACGTTTTGTGTTGGTTTAGCCTTCCCCTTCCTTCACTTTCGATTTGCTTCCGACACCTACAATGTATGGGTCATTTGAAGTGTGAAACGATGAAATGATTAAAGTTACACAGACTGGAAAAATATTAAGATAATGCTCTTTCAAATATGCAATGAAATTTTTAAAAAGAAATATACTGGGCTTGTTTGTTCATCGTAAAATTATACAGTGTTTTATCAATAATCGAGACACTTCTAGAAAAAATGACATGATCGTTAGACAACGACAGAGCCTTAAACAAGGGGAGATAAACGGCGTTGGGCGAGGTTCATTTTTCACGATCAAGTTATTTGATCATTCCAGCTATTCTTGATAAGCCAAAGTGGCCTCGTTTCCGTATATAACTCAATATGTTTAGAGCACTGTTTCCCATGAAATTGAAATTAGAAATAATGACATGTATACAAATTTACATGGCCGATGACAATGGCGCACTGTTCTGCATGGACAAACGTGGTGTATAAATTTTCTTCTTTTTTTTTAATGTTTTAAGAAAACTTGATAACTATGAAATTAGTTAATGGGTGAAAAGGTAATATTGTAAAACAGTTACCAGGATGCTTCAGAATGTTAGAAACAATGCTTATTGATATTGTTAAATTCTGTTGGTTTTTACTGTGTGAAAAAACACGTTGAATGAATTGAAAAACTCTAATAGGATAATTTGATTCGTTCCACAACTTGCAGAAATGCTAACATCAACATAAAAAATACCCCCACCCCTCACTCCGGTAAAAAGAATGCCGTTGACATCATAGTCTAAGGGACGTCACAAAGCTATCAGCGTCATTACTAACTTTCAGTTAGAAGCATTGCTTGTTCACAGCAAAAAATCAGACTAAATATTTTTGAAGATGGAAACAATAGAACGAGAGGTAGGAATCATCTTTGTCTTAATTGAATATGTAAATATTTATGACGTGCTTACCATTCATGCAATTGCATTCGATCTAGTCATGACTAGAAGAAACATTTTTTTAAAACAGGAGGTAAATATCTAGACATACTTATTGAAAATGAAATTGTATATGCCTTGAAATGCCTCGTACTTAAAATTAATATGATTGCTATGGTAATGATCCCTTTCATTTGTTTATTGAAGGGAGGGCATATTATCTTTCCCCCGAAATAACATTATAAAAGATACTTTTTAATCGAATGACGACACAATATCAATGACGTCACTATATCAAGGTCGTCACAAAGCTAAAAGCATCACAACTAACATTTCAGTTAGAAGCATAGTTTATGCACAGGAAAATTTCAGACTAAATATTTTGAAGATGGAAGTGAAGGAACGAGAGGTAGGCATTATCTTCCTCTTAATTGAATATATATCAATGTCTATTACTCAGACGTGCTTATCATTCATACAATTGCATATCGATCTAACATAACTAGACGAAACTGAGTTTTTTAATCTGGAGGAGGTTGTTTATACAAACTTACTTAAAAACATGATATGCTATCAACTGCTACGTAATTATGAGAGTCATTGATCCCTAGTTTCATTGGAGGGATGGACTATAAATTTCCATGCTGATATTATATTTCAGCAAATGTTTCACTGTTTTGACTTAATTGAATGACGTCACAATAACAATGACATCACTGTATCAAGGTCGTCATAATGCACGCTACATATTTTAAAGCTGATCGCTAAGAAAAACAACAATTCGTTATATCGTTTAGTAGTATATTTTCCTTGCTTCTTTAAAACAATGGCAAGCTCATTTGAGGTAAGTTATGTGAATGGTTGTAAAATATTCTCATTAATTCTTTGAACTTGCACCAACATAATATACATGTATTAAATTCTCATCTATATACCCTTATATTTATATATGAAGTCAACGAAGGAAATACAATCAAAAGCTAATCTAACTTAAAGGGGTTTAATGTGATTTTATCGTAGAACTCCGAGAAGCTGAGGGAATGTCTCAAGAATGGCACATTGACTCCGAGAGACCTTGACAACAAGGTATGTATAGATTAAGGAATAATTCAATTAAAATTCATATCAGTGGACTTTGTAAAAAAAAAAAAAATAAACAGTGAGCACAGTCTGAGAGAAAAAAAAAAATTAAGAGATATCTTCCGAACTGTTTTAAAATAGAAGAGAGGGTCCTCCAGAGGCAGAAAAAGACGCAGCAAAGGCAAAAGTGGAAAAAATGTAACAACAGAAGATGCGACAAATACACAGGCGGTGGATAATCCACGAAGCACCTCGAAGGCTTCTAAGATTACCAGACAACCCAAAATGGAAAGCAGTTCTAAAACTGCAGAAAAAAGTCTCAATTAAGCTGAAATCTCAAGACAAGGAATCAGAAAGGGTAAAAATTTGTAATATTACACTTAAACATTTAATATGACCAGAAAAAGACCTCTCCGCTGTTTGATGCTAAAATAGATTGAATCATACATTTCCTATTTGATATCGTTTTAGGTTGTACGCAGCATCCTTGATGACATATTTGACCAGGTTTCCAGATATTGTTCTGCTACTAAGAATAGGTTTGTTAAAAATTAAATAAACCAATTATTTCCATTGAAGATTTATTTACATTGTCTTTGACAACTTTTATAATCCCAACTTAATTATAATATTGAATACATCTGGAGATGTAACTTGCTTGGGTAATTCTTCCTTTTCAGCGTTGCCAAAGAACAGAAAAATATTACCCCCGTCCTGACGGGAGCTTCAGACGAGAGAGTAGTAGCTACCCGAAATTTCTACGCAGATCAGAAAAGGGCAACACAGCTGGTATAATAAATACTATTATAATATGATGTTTAAATGAAAATGAATTTACTGCCTTTTCCTGGCATAACAAAATAAAGGTACAATCATGTACATACATGTCAAATATCGTAAAAGATTTACAATTACAGGATATAATTTAAAGTTTAATGTGAAGTGATTTAAATTAGGATTTATTTAACACAATTTTACACCTAATTATAATGTCTTTGGGCGCTGAAGAGCATAATCAAATAAATTTTAATTTCTTTATCAACAGTTATTATATACAGCAGCAGAGGAAAATGTGAAGGACTTGATCTTGTGTGTAACAACACGTCGTCACGATATTCCTAGGTAAATACAATCTGGAAAGCGAAAACTTCTTCCTATACAGAAAACAATTTGTTGTCGTTTTTTTTCTTTTTGGTCACAGTCGCACATTAGAAGATGAAATTCAATTCGCAATGCATTTAAGCAGATTGTATAATTTAGAAAAGTTCCATTCTTTAGACCAAGGGATTTTCCTTTTGCCATTTTAAACAAGTTAAAATATAAATTTAAAAAAAAATGCAGAGTTGAAAAAATGTGAAAGGCTGTATGACCTCAAACCATTCGTACATTCTAGAGCATAAAGGTTCAGAAGAAAAATAGGGTTATATTTTATATTACTATGTTGCATATATATAATGTTGAATATGTAAAAAAATATATATTTATTTTTAGCCCCGACGAGGAACAAATATCTAAAACTGCCCCACTCAGATTTGCAATTTATGACGCACGACAGAGGGCATACCAACAGTGGATGACCACACAGAAATTGAAAATGCAAAAGGTATCTACTGAATAGAGAAATACTTATTTCATATTTCTTTAAATTTAAATTTTTTCGTATCCCTTACATACATACTCTGAATATTGTGTTAACATGTAATATCTCGAATACCAAGGATATGTTGAAGTGACTGTCACAACCACTTTTTCTTCACGTTTTTTTTTATCCTCGTTATCTCGAATCCTCAGATATCCCAAAGTCTATACACTTAGTCCGATGAAGTTCGAGATAATGGGGTTTGATTGTAGATGAAGACACTGTACATTTGAAAGACAAAAGGGGAGATTAAATTATCAATTTTCTGCATTGACAGTTATTGTATAAAGCGGCACAGGAAAATGTGGACGACCTGATAATCCAAGCAACTACTAACTGCGATATTCCTGGGTAGGTACACTAAAATGAATCAGGATTTTGTTTCTTGTAATTTTGTTTCTTGTAACAGCATGATTTTATGTTCATTAAAACTAAGGGTAAAGGAGAAGATTCAGCTGAAGGATAACAATAAATAACAGAATTTGATTCTGCTAGTGCAGTTTGAAAGAAAAACATTTTGCTTCTATTACCAGTTTTTTAAAATCTATAACAGCTGTCAAAGAAAAGCGTAAATTTTGCCTAAATATTCACCGAGTTATTTCCTGTTTATAGAACAGTCAAAGTAGAAGTGGATGTGTCTACCTTGGTGCGATCTGTTTACAGACCAATTACAGTAGAGGTGGATGTGCCTCCCTTTGCGCGATCTGTTTACAGACCAAAAACAGTAGAGGTGAATGTGCCCAGCTTGGTACGATCTGTTTACAGACCAATTACAGTAGAGGTGGAAGTGCCCACTTTGGTACGATCTGTTTACAGATCAATTACAGTAGAGATGGATGTACCTAGCTTGGTACGATCTGTTTACATACCAGTTACAGAGGAAGTGCCTACCTTGGTCCGATCTGTTTACAGACCAATTACAGTAGAGGCGGATGTGTCTACCTTGGCACGATCTGTTTTCAGACCATTTACAGCAGAGGTGGATATGCTTAGCTTGGTACAATCTGTTCACAGACCAATTACAGTAAATGTGGATGTGCCTAGCTTGGTACGATCTGTTTACAGACCTGTTAAAGTAGAGGTGGATATACCTATCTTACTACAATATGCAGAATATGATGCCAGACTGAGGGCACTCTTTGGAAAGAAGAACGCTGAGAAATTAACAATGCAAAAGGTGATTATAGAATGGAATAATAAAATATGTCCATATTGTGTACTGTAACTCCTATTTAATACACCTCAGTGAAACTTTATCATATAATTATAACTTGTTACAAAGATTATAGAAAATTTGTCTTTTTGTTATTTAGACTAGGTACAACACAGCCTCGGAGGTCGTTGAAGACCTGTTTACCTGCGCAGTCAGTAACACAAGGTTTGTCCAGTATTTGTACTTGAAATTATTTATAAATAGTAATATTTTCATTGATTGCAGAAACAAAGCCGACCAAAAAATTTGTCTATTATTTGATTTTTTCCATCTTTTGTTTATAGCTTAAAGACTTTATCTGAACCAGATGTAAGCGACGAAATGGTATGTATTTCGTATCAAAAAGCACTATGTAACGTAATTCATAGTTTTATTTTTTAAAATGGACAAATGTAGCTTAAAAGTAAATGAGAAAACTACAAGATCTGAAGTACTGTAAATGAATTTTGACTTTTAGGAGGATGATCCTGAGCCAACACAGAAAGGCTGGAGAAGATTCTTTTGTTGTGTCAAAGCAAAGAAACAACAGGTAAACATCCATCATTATCACATCATAGGCACTTCATTTTATTTTTTGGTCATGTGTCCTGGTGTACACACGACTGTGTTTATAAAAATGAGTTCTACAAACATTTGACTATATACTTATTATTTTTTCACCAGAAGAAAGAGAAGAAAGGGAAGTTTGGATTGCTTACCAGACTGCGCCGCTTGTTTAACTGTCGCTAAATTGTCTGAAAGTTCTAGTTTATCATTTGAAAATATGTGTATATAGAGAACATTTTTTTAATTCAAAAAGTTATTGATAATTTGGAATATGATTAGGACAATTCACTTACTATAACCATCATTTTGAGAATGGAAAGATGTAAACGTTATTTTTGAATAAATTTTATATTCATGTTCTTGTGTGTTTAGTTTTTATTGCTTTTCTCAAGTTTCCCGAATGACAAGTTACTGTCTGAACATTAATCTATGTTTCAGTAAAATGGCAGATAGACACAGTTTCATCATCCCCCTTTCCAAAAATAGTCCGAGACTCTGCTTGCAATGGCCAGTAGATGTAAACTTCCTTTTTGTCCTGAAGTAGCCTCTGATGTAAAGTAAATTAAGTCTCCACTTAAGTACACTTTCAGGTGACATATTTGTCAGAGAATTCCTATTCTCAATCTACTTATGGGGTTTCAAATAAGGGTCAAAATCAGTTACTCATGTTTTCAATTGATCTCCAGGGTGAGAAAACTAAGTGGTAATGTAGGGATGGACGTATTTACCTCATGTATTCGTACATGTAAATAGTCTCTGGAAATTGGTTTTCTTTGTTTGCTTGTGTTTTTTTAGCTTCCCTTCCAGAATTTTTCACGCATATTGAGATGCCATCATTTGGCAGTGAATTAAGGACTTTATACCTGTACTGGGCACTAATGGCCTTTGATCAGTGAGGGGATCTTTTTCATGCCAGAACCTACTGCGACATGGAACCTTGGTTTATACGGTCTCATCCAAAGGACTAGTCTCCACATTTTGCAGTGGGATTCGAACCTGCCATGTAAGGACCAACTCCTTACCTATACCACACAAGTGACCCTGGAAACTGGTAAATCAGTTAAAAGAATTACAACTCTATATCTCTTCTACTTTTTGCCGAAAAGAAATTACAACAAAGTGTTAACTACTTGTGTCACACAGAGAGAGAGAGAGAGAGAGAGAGAGAGAGAGAGAGAGAGAAAGAAAGAGATTATTAATATGACTAACCTTAACCCTTTAAAAATAAAAATACATGTATATGTTCACAAATATAATAGATTATTGACTCGGTCCATTGTACTCGGATATGGAAGAATTTGATTTTTGTAAAAATGTGAACAAAAACTTAATGGTTCTTAGCCTCAGACAAATAAGTACTTCTTCCAGAAAGCATTGACATCACCCATAAAAATTCTCACATGTCAAATGTACGGAAAATCTTTGAAAATCTGAATAGAATATGAAGTAAATAACAAGAGGCCCAAGGGCCTTGAATTGCTCTTCTGATAAACTGTACAACCTATCACTTCTATTTGAAGCCTATAAGTATCCTGTATATTTAGATAAAGCCTTGAAATTCCAAAGGTAGGTCATCATGACCTACATTTTAGATGAAACACTCTGAGAATTAAACCCAAGGTGATTCTAAGCAAATTAGTAACTAAGAGTTGGTCATGGTGACCTACTTATCACTTGTCATTCTCTGAGGACCCAAGATGCATCAATTAAGTTTGATGATTCTAAGTCAATTAATACCTAAAATATTTTTAAAATTATAACCATAAAATTTCAAAAGTAGGTCACAATGACCTACTTTTCAGATGACATACTTTGAGGACCAAGATGCATCCACTGACAAAGTTTGATGATTCTAAGCCAATAAGTACCTGATATATTTAAATAAAGCCATAAAATTTCAAAAATAGGTCACAGTGACCGCCTTTTTAGTCGACTAACTCTGCTGACCCAAGATGCATCAACTGACAAAGTTTGATGATTCTAAGCCAATTAGTACCTGAAATATTTAATTAAAGTCATAAATTTTCAAAAGTAGGTCATGGTGACCTACTTTTCAGTCGACCTATTCCGAAGATCCAAGATGCATCAACTGACAAAGTTTGATGATTCTAAGCCAAATAGTACCTGAAAATATTAAATACAGCCACAAAATTTCAAATGTAGGTCATGGTGACCTACTTTTCAGTTGTCATACTCCAAAGACCCAAGATGCATCAACTGAAAAAGTTTGATGATTCTAAGCCAAATAGTACCCGAAATTATTAAATACAGCCACAAAATTTCAAATGTAGGTCATGGTGACCTACTTTTCAGTTGTCATACTCCAAAGACCCAAGATGCATCAACTGACAAAGTTTGATGATTCTAAGCCAAATAGTACCCGAAATATTTAATTAAAGTCATAAATTTTCTAAAGTAGGTCACAGTGACCTACTTTTCAGTCGACCTACTCCGAAGACCCAAGAAGCATCAACTGACAAAGTTTGATGATTCTTAGCCAATTAGTACCTGAAATATTTAATTATAGTCATATAAATTGAAAAGTAGGTCACGGTGACCTTTTGAGGACCCAAGATGCATCAACTTACAAAGTTTTAAAATCATAGGCTTTAAAATGTCCAAATTATGCCTCCTAAATGCTTTGAAATCGAATGTCTGCAAAGTTCAAAAAGTAGGTCACTCTGACTTACTTTTTAATAAATACGTTTTATGGCCCCAAGATGCATCATCTTACAAAATTAAATGATTCTAGACCTCTCAGTATTCGAATTAATGACCTTAATTGTTTTGAAAAAGATGAGCCATAAAATTCAAAAAGTAGGTCAAAGTGACCTACTTTTTAGTTGACATACTCAGAGGACCCAAGATACATCAACTAGCAAAGTTTGATGATCATAGGCCTTAAATTCTTCAAAATATGCCTCTAAATCATTTTGAAAAAGAATGGCCAAAAAATTTAAAAAGTAGGTGACCTACTTTTGAGTCAACATGATATGAGGTCCTTAGATGTATTAACTGACAAGATTTGATGATCCTAGTCCTTATAGTAAGCAAAATATCAACATTTTAATAAAATGTAATTTTTGGTCAACTTTGAAATGACCTTGAGACCATGCCCTTTGCCCAAGGGTGTTGCCTTGAACAATTTTTAATCTACAACATATCCTCATCCTTTTGTGTAATTTTGGTGATAATCTGCCCAGTGGTTCTTGAGAAGATTTTTTAGCAACCAGTACTTTTGTTTCTATTTTCCTAATTATCTCCCCTTGTTTAAGTGTCACAACCCTAGTTTTAATACAAAAGGGAGCCCTTGGGCCAAGGATACCCTGTGACAAATTTGACAATAATTGGCCAAGGGGTTCTTGAGTTATGGCCCATATTCTAAAAAGTTTACCCACACTGCACAAATGGCCATAGGCATTAGCTCTTTGACCCTTTGGCTCAGAAGAGCTAATAAGGATCTACTATTGTCTACTTTCAATGAAATCAATGGTGAACAACTACTCTGAGTAAGTGTGTTATAAGGTATTTTATTTATATAGTTTTTTGTTTTCAGGGAAATACATATATCACTCATCATTTTAAAAGTTAATGTTTAACATTTCCCAAACACGTTTTTTAGATTGAGAGTTTTTTTTTTTTTTTTTTTTTTTTTTTTACAGCAATAAATATTAAAACTGTCTAGGTGTCAAATGTTTACATTTGTAATGAAAACATCAATAAATTTCTCTAAATCTGTGTTTTCAATAACAATTAATTATCAATGTGTTCTAGGAAAATAAAAAAAATCAAACAAACAAAAACTAGATGTGTCGTTTACACCAAGAATGCCCCTGCAAGCAGCCAAAATTTCAAATACAATATTTAGTTTTAAATTTTAAATTTGTATTCAAACTTGACCCACATTTTCTGATAAAATACCTGCATATCCAATTTCAACCTTATATTTACATCCCTACAAAAGTTGGAAAGCTGAAAATAAAAATTTCTTTTTTTCTCTAAGTTCAAGAGGCTTAACTCTGTCAAAAATCATCGGACCAAGACCAAATTCAAACTTGACCTGAATTTTAGTGATAAAATACCTGCACATGCAATTTCAACCTTAAACATACATCCCTACATAAGTTAGAGAGCGGAAACTGAAAATTTCTTATTTTTTTTAAGTTCAAGAGGCTTAACTCTGTCAAAATTCATCGGACCATGACCATATTCGAACTTGACTTGCATATTCCTATGACGTATCCATGTGTCAAATTTGAATTGAATGTGTGCAATTGTTGCAGAGTATTGGACAGAAAGTGAATGATAACAGAATGACTGAATGAAGGAACATGGTACATGTAACACTATTTGCCCCGGCCATTTCATGGCGGGAGCATAAAAACCTAACTATCTACCCATTTTTATAAATGTAGATTGAAGTACATCAAACAAAGCAATTTTTATTATTATCCTTCAATATTATACAGTCAATCTAAATGGTTGAGAGCAGTTGTCTCGTGTGGGGAGACAAATTGGTGATGTCTCCCTCACGCACAGGTTGACAACTGTGTCGTCTCCCTTTAGATGAAAAAAAGTGTCTTAAGCTAGATAACTCATATTTATAATTATATAACTGCTTTCAATGCGGGATTGGTAAACAATATATTCTAATGTGATGTCGAAGTTGACTGTTGACATATTTTGAAAGTATGGAATCAGATCTAGAGCAGTGAGTTGGAGAACACAAGAGGTTTGACTGATATTTTCTACTCTGTCTAATTAATAATTTTGATTCTTCGTGATAATAAAACTATTATGGACTGTTTAGAAGGGAGATATTATCAATTATCAGGTCTGAGTAGGGTTGTCACCCTCGGACACAAGTGAACAACAATTGCATAAAAATATCTATAACATAAAATAAGAAAATTAATCCTTTTAACAAGTTAATTTTAGCCAATCAAAAACTAAACTTAAATTTGTCCACAAAATGTATCTACTACAGAGACATCAGAGGAAGTCATATTTTTTGAGATCTTGAACAAATCCTAACCAGTAGAGGAACTCGGCCATTTTCAGCCTGTCCTCTTGTTTTAGCATGTCAAATGGCTCCGTGTAAATAATCTTCCCAGGATTCTCTGCTGATCCACTCTCTCCTTTATGGATGCTAACTGAATGCTCCTCTGTTATTTTCAGCAAAACAAAAATTAACTACAAGAGAAAACAAGGTCTGTAAGCCAATTCTCACTAGTAATACCCCCGCTATGATATAAATATACGCTCTCAAAATGAATCCCAACTATATGGCATGCCTAAACAAAGAATGTGCTAATTAAAAATTTAAAGCACCTGCAATGAGTAGTTGCTGAAACTGACGAAAATTCGTTACAGACAGACACGAAAGGGTAAAACAGTATACCCCCTCTCCTTCGGAGCAATGTGTGCCATCAATTTATCATTTTAACACTTGAATTCACTTTTATCTATTGTTTGTTTTGGACAAGTACTACTTACTTTTGTTTCCATACAAACAACTCCAAGACTAAATGGATAAAATACTGAGTGTGGTGACTGGCCAAGAAGCTCTGCTCCAACTTGTCCCATAACAATCTGTCCAACTACCTGTTCCATATATGTTGTACCTTCTTCAGAAGCTTCAGCATTTTTTGCCTAAAATTTGACAAAGCTATGGATTAATACAAACAGTCAAACTTGCCTAAGTGGTCACATTTATCCAGCAGTCACCTGACTCATAGTCATCCTCATAATAAGAAACGGATGAATATCAATTGGTCTTTCAACAGGAAGGTGCAAAAAGACCTATCAAAAAATAGTTTCAAGAGGTCCTTCCACATGAAATATGGAAGTACTAATAATAGGGTACAATAAAAACAATGAAAAAAAATAATAAAACTTGGTTTGGGGAGCATAATTAATTATTTAAAATACAAATTTAAAATTGAATTTGAGGATGGCCACTATCAGAAAGTTTTGAGGAACATTATTTCATAAGTTTAACGTGAAGATAGCCATGATCAATAAGGCTTAATTAAGGACTGAGCATAATTACCTCTATACAAGAGTTGATCTTGAGGATAGCCATGATCAGAAAGGTTTAAGGAATGAGCATAGTTACCTCCATAACAATCAAGAGCTGATCTTGGGGATAGCCATAATCAGATAGGTACTGATAGACCACATCAGGTGTACTTCTCAAGATTTGATTCTTAAAAGAAAAGGATCCCTCAAGTACTTCACTGAAAGAGAAAAAAAAATTAGTGCTCTAAATACACAACTAAGACCAGAAACATAAATAACAGAGACTATCAAAATCAAAATCTTGCAAGCCCTATTGTTTACCTTGCAAGCCCTATTGGTTACCTTTTTCAAATCTAGTACATGTACTGGGAATCTTAAAAATTATTAAAGATAAAGAAAAAAATCTTTCACTTTATTAACAAATTATTCACAGAATATTATAAATATTTTTAATGCTACAAAATAGCAAAGGAAGAATTGGAAAAAAAAGTAACCTGGTTGACTAAAATAAATACTGTAGCCCTACAGATTTTGGAAATATCTTCTTCGGATTTTTTTCATAATACAGTTGTAGAACTATGATTTAATGTGGCCCAATTTTTCTCACAGGGACCATGATTTGATAAAAAGAAAGAATCTACACTACTGGAGGATGCTTGTACATATTAATATGATTAAATATGGCTCTGCTGTTCTTGAGAAGAATGACACTGCTGTTCTTGAAAAAAAAATCTTTAGAGATTTTTCTTACATATTCCCAAGACATAAATCTCAGATACCCTGTTGCTTCCTCAACCTACCCCTGTGGGCTATGATCTGAACAAAATTGAACCTATATAGTGGCATGAAGACTTCACTAAATTGTTTCATATTTTCAGGCCCAATGGTTTTTGACAAGATTTTAAAATTACTAACCAAATTTTTGCTATTTCTTAATTATCTCCCCTTGAAAGAGGTTGTGGCCCTTATTTGAACTAGAATTGTCAAAAAGGGACAAATACCCCCTGCTGGGTTTTTCAGAGAAGGTGCCAAATCACTAATACTTTATGGATCTAAAAGGTGTTCACAATTTGCTTAAACATTTAGAGTGAAAATATAATTGCTCATTATATTTTTTTAATGAATGAAACTAAGGCACAGCCTAACAAAACATAAATACTAATAATTACATTGTTTTCTCATTACATTGAAAAAATAAATTGCCAGGAGATATAGATAACATCTGCTTGATCAGAGATGCCCTAACAGCTTCCCACACTGAACTCATTCTTAACTGGATGCATGTCCACTGATTACTCCCAAGGGACGAATGGATTTACGCTAAATGCTTTGTAATGCACTGTGTACAACGGAAAAGGCATATCTATGTCATTCTGTTGAAAACAAAGAAATTTTTTTAAATATGTTACAAAGCTTTATATAATGAAAAAAAAAAAAGAACTGTGTAATCTTGATGTGACATTTTTTAATAAGGTTACTGCATGACTCTTGGATTTGTAGGGACTATCTATCAAAAACTTTTTTTAATACTTGCATGGTGACTTTATTTTTAGTTTTAATGAGTCGTTTTAAGCTGCAGTTCACATTTTTGTGCAGATGTACCAACTGGCAGTTCTAGATTGTATGTCTCAAACCTATATAAATCCAAAATGACTAAGTCAATAAGAATGAAAAAAAAAAACTGTAAAATGCAGAAAAACTACCCAATAATGATGAAAATAGCAGGTGCACACCGTCATATAATGGATAATGAGTGTACAAATATTCAGACAAATCTAATATGCAATAGTCTCTGAGAAAAGGTCTGGACAAAATCATGTAATTAAAATAAATTAAACACCTGTAAAACGCAGAAAAATTATCCAATCATGATGAAAATACCAGGTGCACACCTTCATATGGTAAATAATAAGTGTACAAACTTTCAGACAAATCCATGCAATAGTCTCCGAGAACAGGTCTGGACAAAATCTCGTCTACAGACAGACGGACAGACAGACGGACATGGTGATTCCAATATACCCCCCCCCCCTAAACTTCGTTTGCGGGGGGTATCATAAACTTGAATCCCCTTTACTTGAAGATGCTATGTGGAACGTTTGAATAAAAAGTTGAAATTGTGAGTTTATGGAACACACCTAATGGACACACAACAGACGGATGCTCACTGATCAGTAAAGCTCACTTCAGCCTTTGGCTCAGGTGAGCAAAAAAATAAGTTCTCAAAAAGCAATTATTTTGTATCCAAAAAAATGTGAAACTTAAGACAGTGCCCTTGATACACCCTATATTTACAAACTTCCTCCTCCATACTGGCCATACTGTAGATTTTTAGATCAAGTGTTAGAAGAAAGGACTATTTTAGAAACTTAACTTGCACTGCCTTGTAATTATGATCTAACTATACTTACCCTTTAACTAAAAAGAACAGCCCTGCAAATTTCTCACAGTATTGCTGGAAAAAATTTTCAGTGGTTGCTTTATATGAAATCTTTGAATCTGCATGTTGACCATGTGACCCTCTGCTCCGTACTCTAGCTCTTTCACTTCTCCTTCTCCCTTTCCCTCTCTCCATTTCATATGAAGACCTCTGCTTTTCTTCTTGCTTTCCAAAAAGAATTTTTTTGACAAGTTGAATAGTCTCCCCTGCAAATGTTTTTACAGGAAAACTTAAAGAAAATATCAGTTCCTGTACTTTATCCTTCAGAGATGAATCCAACGCTTGATAAAATCTGAAAGACAAATATATATCATTCTTTTTCCTTAATTGCAATTTTTTTCTTTTTGGCATTTGAGTCATTATTGAGAAAGTCTACATATTTCTTCTTCAAAGAATGCTTTGAAGAAAGTCCCATAGATATTGGTTCAGTAGTTCTGGAGAATTTGAAAATTTAAAAGTTTACAGACAGACATACAGACCATATGAATGACAAAGATATAAATACAAATGACAGAGAAATTTCTGTCAGAAAAAACTCATCCTGAGCCTTTAGCTCTGGTGAGCTAATCACTCACACCAAAATCCTAAGAAATACACTTTCTTGTATAAATACACATAAACGATCAAAGAACACTGAACAGAAAAACTGACTTTGATACAGGTAACTAAAAACTTACTGGTTCTTTTGTAGCATTTCTTGTGATTTTTTCCATGTCCATTGTAAATATCTCTCCATCTCCTTCGTAATTCTCTCTGCTACAACACCAGGGTTACCATACACACGGAGGTCTCTAAGATTTGTCAATTCATATGAAAATGTCAAATTTTTAAGATGTTCCTTCAAAACATTGTTTATTATGCTAGAATCGGGACAAAAACCTTTCCTTTCCATAAAAGCATCTTTCACTTCTTTCATAAAGTTTTCCATGGATTCTGGAGTTTTCTCATAAAAGATATTTAAGAGCTGCAGATCAGCAAATGTCCATTTACTTGCTGAATAGTTTCCATCTTCATTACTTTCATAAGAATCTGTATTTTCTTCATTATTACTGGATGTAGTATCATAAGAATGAGGTAATGGTGGGAGTTTCTTTACTTTACAGCAGCTTGGTGTATCACTGTCTGAGTCCTACAAGAAACAGAAAACAGAATAAAATTACATACAGTAGAAGCACTCTTTACCACATGGTATTCATTAATGCTAGGTATGCGGTCACAAAGTTTTCGCTGAAATTTTCCCAGTGCACCTTAAGGACATTTAAGGAGGAAAAGGACCTTGAGCTGAAAAAATACTTGTCATTCAATTTTTTTTCATATTTTGTATATTTCTAATTAAGTATGTCCCACATATCTTAAAGCAGTTATATCATTAGGTTTCTTACCTTATTTTAGAGATATTGATTGACAAATACTATGCCCTACAGTATCTAAGTGGATTTTTAATTCTCCATGTTTCTGGGCTCATTACTCTGTCCATAATGAGATTTTTTAGGCATATACAGTCCCTGAAACGTTCTACTTTCCCATTTTCTGTTCGCTCACTGTTTGTTCACCGTTCATTCAGCGTGCGTTCACCATTCGTTCAGCGTGCCTTCACCGTTCGCTCTCCATTCACAGTTTTGCGTTCAGCGTTCACCGTGCGCTCACCTTCACCGTTCACAAAGCGTTTAGCGATCGCTCTCCGTTCGTTCACTTTGCGTTCAGTGTTCAGTTATCGTTCAGTCTTCAGTGTCATTCGGAACTCCGAAGTGAAAGGACTTAATATCTTTTTGTAAGTAAGGATTAACAGTTTTTTTTTTAATTTAATAATTAACATATCGTGTTTAAAGAATCTTTATCGTATAGGGAAAATTATCCAAAATATTCCAACTTATTATTTTTTTATTATTAGCTGTAAAGTTATTATTTTACTTTGGAAAATAAATGTTGTTATAAGTATGTACCTATGTAGAACGATGCTAAAAATTAAATACAATGTATAAATACGGGCAATATACAGATACTTGAAGCACTGCAACATTTTGTTGTTATGTTAAAGACGGCAAAACGTTAATGGAGAGAAAATTTCCAAAGCCAATTAATTCACAAACTGCAGCAAAATTACGAAAATATTTATTTCTAACACATTTTTTTAATTACTACAAAAATACTTGATAGAACTAGATCTGAAAATTATGCATAGTACTGCAGATATCTTGTTAATTATATATCTTTGGAGTGATTTAAATTGATAGTGTGGGTAAAAAATATTTATTTAATATGTAATACACTAAAGAATTTTCTCTACTATAATATGGAGTGCCGCAGGGTTCAATTTTGGGTCCGCTTTTATTTTTATTGTACATAAATGACCTTTCATTGCATGTAAAAAATTCAAAAGCTGACATGTTTGCTGAAGATGTAACTCTACATACTAACAATCATAATCCAAAATATCTAGAAAATGTGTTGAACTCAGATATTTGTGAAATTGAAAAATGGTGCTCTCAAAATCAAATGGTATTGAATGTAGATAAAACAAATGTATGTTAATGAGCACGCAGCAGAGAAAATCCAAACTAATCAATCCGAATTTACAACTGTATGCTTCAGACAAAATAATTGAGATGGTTGAGACTGAGAAACTTCTAGGTATACACATTGATGATGAATTACAGTACTCTGTTCATGTAGACTCAGTTTGCAAAACCTTAAACTACAAGTTATTTACATTATGCAAGATAAAAAAAATTTCTTCCCTTACATACCAGAAAACTGTACTACAATGCATATATTCTACCTTCAATTAATTACTGTTTGACTGTTTGGGGAAATGCACCCCAAAACAGTATTGAAAGAATATCTAAATTACAAAAAAGGGCCGCCAGAATTATTCTCGATGCAAGACCTGATTCTTCTTCTAAACTATTGTTTGAGAAACTTGGCTGGCTGACAGTTTATGAGCTAGTTGATCTACACAAATACATTTTATTATTCAAAATATTCAATGGTATGACTCCTGAATATCTTTGCGAGTTATTTGAATTTCACTCTTCAACTTCTTATAATCTGTGATCTGAATCAAACTACAGTGTACCATCTTAGATTACCAAAATCCCGTACATATTTAAGACCTCTTTTCAGTACTCAGGTGTACATCTTTGGAACAAACTACCACAAAAAATCAGGCTTTCTCAGTCTCTACAAGCCTTTAAATGCAAGGTAGAAAATTACGTTGTTAGCCGTCGAATAAATATCTGAGCAAATATTTCAATCATTTTTTTTTCTTTTCAATTTACTACGTGTATTTATATTTAAATACTTGTGTTTATGATTGTTTCTTATTTATATGTAATTATTATCGGACAAAGACAAACACTGTATTCATACTTCTGAGACTGTAATCATATGGACTGCAATATGTTAATTTGTATATTTGTATATATATAATTATATGTATCTTTACTTAATATCTAGAAGGCCCTGGGGAAGAATAGTGCATGCACTAACCAGGTTACCTTCTTTAAATAAAGTATTATTTTTATATATAAAGTCTATAGTTATAGAGAAAAAAATTCTTCCTTCACTGTAAATTTATATGTTTGCCATTCGATATGATTAAGAACACCCCCCTTTTTTTTTCCCTCAATCGGTTACTTAATGGTCAGTATTTCCAGTATATTTTAATTAACATTTAAAAAGAAGTGAATGTGATTTGTAGCACAAAATTATCAGTCTCAAAACAAATATGCATCTAAAAAAGTAATTTTAAACAATAGTAGTTCAAAATATACACGTGTCAACAGTGGCAGAGAGTATGTTTCAAATTCAAGTGTTAATGCCCAATGTATTTTATTTATTTATTTATTTATTTTTAGAAATGTAAGAATCAAATCTAGAAATGATAAAAAAAAAATGTTAAAACTTGTTGGAAATACTAGCACTTCGTCTTAGGTATGATGAGACTCTCACATCTGCACAGTGTCGAATGATTTTGATTGACAGGACAAGCACGTGGACTCCATGTGAACTTGAAGCAGGAGAATAAAAAAAACGAGTATGACTGTCAAACAAATGGATTTGTTGATTTATAAAAAGTTACTTTCATTGCCTGATATATTTAGAAAAAAAAATTAAGAATTTTTGTTTGATTATAGGTACAAACATTTGGTGCAGTCTGAAGGATGGGGGGGGGGGGGGGGGGAGACAGAATCTCTCTCTCTCTCTCTCTCATTTGTCTGTTTAATAAAAACTATGACATCATATTACTAAAATATCAAGTTCTGAAATTTTAATCTATAACAAATAATATGAATGCCTCTTCGTATCATCTTGTCCGAGTATAATCACAGGGGAATGTGTTCAGGTACATGTAGGATTCTGCTCAATAAATCATCATAAAAAATAGAAATGGCACATAAATATATCATTGCATTAAAAATTTAAAATACAAGTGTATTTATGCAATACGTCCACAGACCTTTATTATTTTTTTTTCATTATTTTACACAGAATCACCTTCGCACGGAAATATATGAATGAATGTTATAACTGTCGTAATTCATTCTATAAGTCAGAAGTTTTCTCTTATTTGTAATGGTTTTTTTTATATCAAATAAGAAAAAATATATTTATTTTCCATATAAAATAATTTTATCTTTTATGCTACAGCGTTCGGTAATAAATAATAATTACAATGTTTTACAGCGATAAAAATCGTGTGATTAAAAAGTTGAATTTAAACATCATACAAGTAAGAAACTTCAATAGTTTTACTTAATGTGCATATATCATATTTCTTAGGGCAAATCTGGAGCATTTATTTTATATTTATTTATTCATTGATTGATTGATTTTTTTTTTTTTTTGCACCTGACAATAAAATACAATAGAATACTAGTAGTTTCAATGCAAGGAAAATATCAGAGGCATTCCGAAATAAATTGTTCATCTTACGTTCACCGTTTGTTCACTGTTCACTTTGCATTCGCGCTCCGTTCGTGTTCTGCATTTGCTCACCGTTCGCACATCGTTCACCAAGTTGCGTTCAGCATTCACACATCGTTCACTCACCGTTCGCTCGGCGTTCGTTCACCGTTCGTTCAGCGTTTGCTCACCGTTCAAGTGGGAAAGTAGAATGTTTCAGGGACTGTATAAACAAGAGGTCCATGGATCATATCGCTCACCTGAGCACTGTGGCTAGGAAAAAAGCAGAAATTAGTTCAGTATTAAAAAGTATAAATGCATAAGTGACCCGGACCTACCCCTAAAAAGGGGGGGGGGGGTATGATTTGAACAAACTTGAATCTACACTAAGGATGCTTACACATTTCTTCGCCAAACTGTGGCTTTTTTCCCATAAGTTTGAACTTTCATTGTGGTCCCACCCTATCTCCAGGGGTCATGATTTGAGCATATCTGAATCTACACTACCTGAGGATGCTTTCATATAACTAATCATCATGGCTTTGCTGTTCTTGAGAAGATTTTTTAAAAAAAATCCTATGTATTCCTATGTATAAATTTCTTTGTCCATTGTGCCCCCCCCCCCCCCCCCCCCCCCATGATTTGAACAAACTGGAATCTACACTACCAGGGATGCTTCCAAATAGATAATGACCAATCATGGTTTGCTGTTCATGAAAAGAAGATTTTTCCTATATACTCCTATGTAAAACTTTGCTCATCCATTGTGCCCCCAACCCCCACCCCAGGGATAATAATTTGAACAAACTTGAATTTACACTAGTCTACCTGAGGATGCATCCATATAAATATGACCAATCATAGCTTTTTTGTTGTTGAGAATAAGATTCTTAAAGATTTTTCCTATATAGTCCTAGGTAAAACATTGATCTTCCATTGTGGCCCCACGCTACACCCGGGGGTCATGATTTGAACAAACTGGAATCGACACTACCTGAGGATGCTACCTTATATATATGGCTAATCATAGCTTTGTTGTTCTTGAGAAGAAGATTTTTAAAGATTTTACCTATATAATCCTATGTATAACTTTGCTCGTCCATTGTGCCCCCCCCCCCCCCCCCCCCGGGGTCATGGTTTGAACAAATCTGAATCTACACTACCTGGGGATGCTTCCGTACAAAAATGACCAATCATGCCTTTGCTGTTCTTAAGAAGAAGACTTATAAAAGATCTTTCCTATATATTCCTATGTAAAACTTCGCTTGTCCATTGTGGCCCCACCCTACCCCCAGGGGTCATGATACCTGAGGATGATTCCACACAAGTTTCATCTTTTCTGGCCTAGTGGTTCATGAGAAGAAGATTTTTAAAAGATGCCATTAATTTTTCACTAATTTGTAATTATCTCCCCTTGAAAGAGGGTGTGGCCCTTCATTTGAACAAACTTGAATCCCCATTACCCAAGGATACTTTGTGCCAAGTTTGGCTGAAATTGGCCCAGTGGTTCTGGAGAAGAAGATGAATTTGTGAAAAGTTTACAACGACGATTTCACCGCCGCCGCTGACAAC